ATTCTTTCCAGGAATCGAGCATATACTCCACCGAGTGTATCTCTTGCAGGCAAGTGGGAGCCCCCTGCCCCGTTCTCATCATTGAAAAAATCTTATCAATCGCGTTGAATGACCAATTAATTAGATCCATTTCTAAAAAAATAGGGATTTTCAGGAGAAGTGCAGAGAAGCGCTCTGTGGGCAGACAGGACAAAGAACTTTGGGAAAAAAAGATAAGGGAGCAAAAAGGGAACCGTCTGTACTCTGCGAGTGCCAGAAGAGAAGTGAAGACACTTATAGACTTTAGTGAAGACTTCTATAGACTTTAGTGGAGACACCTATACACTTTAGTGGAGAAATCTATAGACTTTAGTGGAGACATATATAGACTCTAGTGGAGACACCTATACACTTTAGTGGAGAAATCTATAGACTTTAGTGGAGACATATATAGACTCTAGTGGAGACACCTATAGACTTTAGTGGAGAAATATATCGACTCTATTGGAGAGATCTTTAGACTTTAGTGGAGACATCTTTAGTGGAGACACCTATAGACTCTAGTGGAGAGACCTATAGGCTTTAGTGGAGACATCTATAATGGAGACATCTATAATGGAGACATCTGTAGACTTTAGTGGATATGTCTATAAACTAGTGGAGACATCTATAATGGAGACATCTATAGACTCTAGTGAAGACATCTGTAGACTCAAGTGGAGACATCTGTAGACTCAAGTGGAGACATCTGTAGACTCAAGTGGAGACGTCTATAAACTAGTGGAGACATCTATAATGGAGACATCTATAGACTCTAGTGAAGACATCTGTAGACTCAAGTGGAGACATCTGTAGACTCAAGTGGAGACATCTATAGACTTTAGTGGATATGTCTATAAACAAGTGGAGTCATCTATAATGGAGACATCTGTAGACTTTAGTGGATATGTCTATAAACTAGTGGAGACATCTATAATGGAGACATCTATAGACTCTAGTGAAGACACCTGTAGACTCAAGTGGAGACATCTGTAGACTCAAGTGGAGACATCTATAATGAAGACATCTATAGTGGAGACATCTATGATGGAGGCAACTATGATGGAGACATCTATAGACTCTAGTGGAGACATCTTTAATGGAGACTTCCATAATGGAGACATCTGTAATGGAGACATCTATAGACTGTAGTGGATACATCTATAGTGGAGACATCTATAATGGAGACATCTATAGTGGAGACATCTATAATGGAGACATCCATAGACTGTAGTGGAGACATCTATAATGGAGACAACTATAATGGAGACATCTATAATGGAGACAACTATAATGGAGACATCTATAGACTCTAGTGGAGACATCTTTAATGGAGACTTCCATAATGGAGACATCTACAATGGAGACGTCTATAATGGAGACATCTATAGACTGTAGTGGATACATCTATAATGGAGACATCTATTGTGGAGACATTTATAGTGGAGACATCTATAATGGAGACATCTATAATGGAGACATCCGTAGACTGTAGTGGAGACATCTATAATGGAGACATCTATAATGGAGACATCTATAGACTGTAGTGGATACATCTATAGTGGAGACATCTATAGTGGAGACATCTATAATGGAGACATCTATAGTGGAGACATCTATAATGGAGACATCCATAGACTGTAGTGGATACATCTATAATGGAGACATCTATAATGGAGACATCTATAATGGAGACATCTATAGACTGTAGTGGATACATCTATAGTGGAGACATCTATAATGGAGACATCTATAGTGGAGACATCTATAATGGAGACATCCATAGACTGTAGTGGACACATCTATAATGGAGACATCTATAATGGAGACATCTATAGTGGAGACATCTATAATGGAGACATCTATAATGTAGACATCCGTAGACTGTAGTGGAGACATCTATAATGGAGACATTTATAGTGGAGACATCTATAATGGAGACATCTATAATGTAGACATCCGTAGACTGTAGTGGAGACATCTATAATGGAGACATCTATAATGGAGACATCTATAGTGGAGACATCTATAATGGAGACATCTATAATGTAGACATCCGTAGACTGTAGTGGAGACATCTATAATGGAGACATCCATAGACTGTAGTGGAGACATCTATAATGGAGACAACTATAATGGAGACATCTATAATGGAGACAACTATAATGGAGACATCTATAGACTCTAGTGGAGACATCTTTAATGGAGACTTCCATAATGGAGACATCTACAATGGAGACGTCTATAATGGAGACATCTATAGACTGTAGTGGATACATCTATAATGGAGACATCTATTGTGGAGACATTTATAGTGGAGACATCTATAATGGAGACATCTATAATGGAGACATCCGTAGACTGTAGTGGAGACATCTATAATGGAGACATCTATAATGGAGACATCTATAGACTGTAGTGGATACATCTATAGTGGAGACATCTATAATGGAGACATCTATAGTGGAGACATCTATAGTGGAGACATCTATAATGGAGACATCCATAGACTGTAGTGGATACATCTATAATGGAGACATCTATAGTGGAGACATCTATAATGGAGACATCTATAGTGGAGACATCTATAATGGAGACATCCATAGACTGTAGTGGATACATCTATAATGGAGACATCTATAATGGAGACATCTATAATGGAGACATCTATAGACTGTAGTGGATACATCTATAGTGGAGACATCTATAATGGAGACATCTATAGTGGAGACATCTATAATGGAGACATCCATAGACTGTAGTGGACACATCTATAATGGAGACATCTATAATGGAGACATCTATAGTGGAGACATCTATAATGGAGACATCTATAATGTAGACATCCGTAGACTGTAGTGGAGACATCTATAATGGAGACATTTATAGTGGAGACATCTATAATGGAGACATCTATAATGTAGACATCCGTAGACTGTAGTGGAGACATCTATAATGGAGACATCTATAATGGAGACATCTATA